AAATCCCGACTATATCAAAATCCCGACTGTATCAAAATCCCGACTATATCAAAATCCCCAATATCCCGACTGTATCAAAATCCCAACTATATCAATATCCCGACTGTATCAAAATCCCGACTGTATCAAAATCCCAACTATATCAAAATCCCAACTGTATCAAAATTCCGACTGTATCAAAATTCCGACTGTATCAAAATTCCAACTGTATCAAAATCTAGACTATATCAAAATCCCGACTTTATCAATATCCCGACTTTATCAATGTCCCGACTGTATCAATATCCCGACTGTATCAAAATCCCGACTGTATCAAAAACAAACAGTTGGGACCAGGATTGATTATGATTTGATCTTGAGACCTTCTTTTAAGGACACGTTACATATTTCGACACAATTAGTTTTACGAAGACCGCTAATAAAAACCACAGCCATTGAAACATCAACTTACTAATCAGTAAATTGTTATTCACTCTGTATAGTATGACTCATTACTATTTTCATCATTTGATATCTCTTCCGATAAGCAAGAAAGTAAATACCATATACATATAGTAAATTTTATTATTCATGAAAAATATTTGATTATAAACAAATGCGTTTCTCAGAGCCGGATAAGAAATAACAGCTTGCACTGGGAAAATAATTTCACTGGTAAAAATGGCTTTTGGCTTCCTATACTTTTTTTTACTTTTGTTCAAATGAAAATAAAACATTATTGTTTGATGTATTTTGTTCAATAAATATTCAGTCCAGTTTATTTTTCTTTATATTCTTTTGGTTTTTCACTTTTTTTTTTGCAAGTTGTTGCTCTCGGCTCAAAGAGAATAAATCAATAAGTTTCCTTGATGGACAAGAATTCAAGATATATTTTTTTACATCAACCATATAACATGCTTATCCAATCGTCACACAATATTTCATCATTTTTGCAATAATCATATGAACGTCAACATAATACGTTAAATTTTACGAAATTCACCAACAAAAACGTAAAAATTAAAGCAAAATATTTTACCTCTATATTTTTGTTTGGAATCATTATAAATTTTGTATAACAAAAGTAAAATCATTTTAATGTTGTATTTAAATATAATAATTTTTTATTTTATTTCAATATAACTTACGCAAATGAATGATTAACTAAAAATTATAAATCAAAGAAAATACATAGAAAACTATGAATTAAATTATATAATTGACTAAAATTTGTTTCATTACATAAAAAAATGATATAGAAATTTTGGATATTGGACAAAGAAATTATCTCCATATTTAATAAATAATATTTCTTAATTCTTGAAAATTTTACTCAACCAACTATACTTGATTTTTTTAATGAACTTTGAAATAAAATGGAAACATTTTTAAAATTAAATATTACTTTAATATATAAAATTATAGCTTACAAAATACTTTGTAGCAGAGAAACAAAAACAACATAACTTTATCACTCTTATGAATCTAGCATGCCATCTAAGAAACACAAGTTAGCTGCTGTTTCTACAACCTTCTCAAGATCCCTTTTCATCACTGTCTTCCTCTTTGACTGATTGGTAACATTTACAGTTTCTTTGGCAAGCAACTCTATAAACAATTCCTGAAAGCACATATTTTCTTCTATAACCACTGGACTAAATATTATGCATTTGATTAATTACAGAGGCTTTGGTGACTAGGAAGATTGCATCCTGACTAATCAGCTGGCAATCTGGATCTGATTTCATAATACTTTTTACCCGAGCAAGTGGTAATTTCAAAAGCTTCGATCTGCTGCTCTTATCTGGGGATGCATTTTCACTTGGTTCTAGAAATATATACATATATATATGACAATAAAATTGAAATAAATTACTTTAAAATATACCTTCTTCTTGACTAGTCTCAGGCTGATCAACAACTTCACTATCTTCCATGTTATTGATATTGATACTAAAAATGTTTTGTGTTTACTAATAGTTTCTGATGAAATTCGTGATTTCACTTTTAGGTTATATCACTGTATTTCCCGCGCTTTTTAAGCAAAACGCAGTAGCGTAGATAAGAAGATTCATGTATACATTAAAAAATGTTGCAGATTTCATTTAAATTAATAATTAAAATAGGCCCTTCCTACAGGGAAGAAGCAGGAGGAAAAAACGATGCTTCAAACAAAATTCCAAATTCTGCATAAAATTGTTAATGTTTGTTATTATTGTTAATCATTTATTATATCACCTAATTGGCACATATTATAATTATGTTAGCAATAATAATAAAGTCAACTTTTCTAATGAAATTGCTGAAAAACAAATGTTATAATATAAATTAAATAAAAACAATACTGATGGTTGATTAAAAAAGCATTTTTTTTAATTTTACACATATAATAAACCGGTTGCAATCGCAAGCCCGACAACCGAAATAGCGTCAATCAAATTCCCGACCTTTGAAATGACGACTGTATCGAAATCCCGACTGTATCAAAATCCTGACTATCGAAAATGTCTAGTGACTTTTAAATTGTTATTAATAATAAATAATAACAATAATCTAATTGTATTTGAGATTATATCATAATGTTAAGGTTTATTATGAATAATTCAACAAAATCAAATAAATTAATAATAATTTATTGTTATTGATAATAAAAATGTAAGACAAGGTAACTACGCTCCGAAATAATTTTAAAATGTTATTGTAAAAATTTTCGATATAGTCGGGATTTTGATATAGTGGGGATTATGTTTGTCTGGATTATGGTTGTCGAGATTCTGATACAGTCGGGATTATGGTTGTCGAGATTTTAATATAGTCGGGATTTCGAACGTCGGGATTTCAACAGACGGTCTTTTGGTTGTCGGGCTTGCGATATAGACGCAGAATTAACAGTCAAAAAAAGTAAAAACGAAGTTACATCATTATTAAATATAATTTATAGACATTTTTGTTTTCACAGATCAAATAGACAAATTGTATAATTAAAAAGCAACAATTATTAAATCTACTTTCTAGTTTTATTAATGAAAGCATTTAATAATAACATTAAATTGTTTTAATGAAATTAGATCTATAAAAAATAAATTAATATGAATACAAAAATGTTTCTGCAGATTTTATGACATAATTACATAACAAATTAACTTTAAAATAATAAAAAATTATTGGTCAAATATAAAACACAAAAAAAAATACAAATTATTAATTTTACTTATGATTAAGCTGTTACCTATTATTAAACTTTTTAGATTAGTAGAAAATCTGCAAGTTTAGAACTTTTATGACCAATGACTTTCTTACATTGTACTATTTAGTGGAGCATAATCTTTTATTTGAATAAACAACAATGAATTAATATAGTCTGCAATTGAAACTTCAGATAAAATTCTTGCAAATAACGCTATAAACATGGATTAATTGATTGACGAAGTTGTGATTGTAAAAGCGTTTTGGTCGGCAAACTTCGGAATTTTCGCCATATAGTGAATATAATGAAATAATTTTCGTTATGCGAGATGCTCGTAGCGAGGTTCCACTGTATTCAGTTAAAATACATTTTCAATACCTAATCAAAATGATAGTTTTTAGCCTGATGTAGTACTTAATCTGCAAAAATATTAAATAATAAATAACTGAAGAGAATGGTAGAAAGGTTGAGTAAACAGTAAAAACTATATTGCGTAGTGAACTAAATTGTAGTGATTTTTTGCTTTTAATAAAAATAACAAAGATAGTGATAAATATTAATAACTATTTAATAATAAGTTATGTTAAGTTTAGAGTAATTAAAAATTAATGATAATAAACAAAATTTAATGCATAATAACAAACAAACGGCAGCAGACAACATATTAAGAATAATTACTACATAATTGTTGTTTTTTTTTCAGTTAATCACTCACTTATTTAGAAGTTTCAATCATAAGTACTTAGCAAGGAAGAAGTTACTTTTTGGTTTGCGCAAACTCTCTAAATTGTTCCGGTTTGAGAAAAACAAGAGCCTCTGCCTGTCGACACATAGAAAAACATACAAAGTTAAGTCTACTTAAACTTCAGTGATGCTATTTTGTAAGATACGCCACTGTGGACAGTTTCGCATTATATTCAAATATTTTCATATCAACAAATATTTATGACTATTTGATATATACAAGCATACCTCTTGATTATTGATTAATACTTTGGTCAAATTGGTAAATTGGCTATTTACAATTGTATTAATTGATACTTGATTTATTGGGTACACACCGATACAGCCTAGGTTGCCTATAGGAATAATGTCCGTCATTGACACCGCGATTGAAGCGCCTCTTTCGTTGGAAAAAGTTAGTAATCTAGCGATGTCCATTAAAACCCATTGTATAAATACCATAAATTAGATTTTGTAATAAAAATATGCGTGCAAAGTGTAATTTGTCCTCGGATTGAGAAGCGAATGTGCACCGGGCGATCTTACGACCTCTTAACGAAAACGTCGCCAACGCCGATGGCCCGAGACCGGTCTTAATAAGTCTTAATTAATTATAGAAAAAACGTCCCCATCGCTCTTAAGATACAATCAAAGCAGTAGCAGTTTGTGCAGGTGTTTCAGCATCAATCGACGCTTTCGGTGACTACAAACGGTGCTCAGGAGGATATAGAAGAGTGCGAGAGGCCATTTCGGCGATCGTCTTTGATGTTCGCCTCTTTCAGTTACAGTACATTGTTTACGCCGGAACGTAGCGATACATTAGAAAAATGGCGGTGCTTTTCAAATGTCAGGTAAATAAATAATAACAAATCAATCAAAACCCGCACCGATCCCATCGGCATGTGCGAAACACGCATCACTTTATCCTACTAAAAATGCAACTTGTAGATTGTTGAACTCCTGATTGCAAGCAATGTGAATTGAGATACATCCGGGGGGGCCTGCACCTAGTGGAACGTTATGGATCCCATGTTGCCAAGACTTGGTGATGTCACAATACAGAGGCTCGATAAAACTAAAGAGGGCAAAGTGGGATTGCAAGATGATAGTAATCCTGTGGAAGATGAAACTGAGGTGCCAAAAACCCAGCTGCCTGTACCACCAGAGGACAACCAGGGACTCAAGAGGACCACAGAAGAACTCCCTGGTCCCTCAACCAAAAAGACGAAGCTTGAGAAGTCTGAAGATGCAAATAGCACAGATTCATTGAGTGAAGCTGGTAGCTTTGATTTAGATTCAGAATATGAAGCAGATTATGAGGAAGATAAGGAGAAATTGCCTGAGGCTGAGGAGCCTGAGGAGGAGTCCCAGGAGCAGCCACCTGATTATCTGGAGCAGCTCGCTCAGGAGCCATTCAATGAGGATGTTGACATCAAAGAGGAACCCAAGAATGAGGAGGATTATGACTATGATATCAAAGAGAAATTAAAAGAAATGGGTGAAATCAGCTTTGAAACAGTGAAGAAGGGCGATCCTAAGCCTAAGAAGGTTGAAGTCAGTGAAACAGAGGTTTCTGTTGTTCCAGCCAAAAAGCCTGGTAAATACTTAATCTAAAATTACATATATTGTCTAATAATTAATTTAAGGTGAGGAGGAATCCATCAATGCAGAGAGAAGCAAAGGAAACTTAAGGAGGAACATCAGAGAAGTCATGGATGAAACTAAATTGGACGAATCGACTTTGGCTGCCCAGAGGCAGGAAATGGAGCGTTTGAGGAGAGTGCAAGAGCAGCAGAAGCTGATACGCGAGGTTCAGAGGCAAATGGCTCAGGATAGGGTTATTTCCTTGCTACAAGGAAGCAATTCGCCAAGAGCAGGTGATAATTGTATTTGGATCAATTTCGGCTCTCGCATATGTTTCAATTCATGGGTTTTCAGGTCCGTCTGCTAGCGGTCGCGCGGGAAACACAGTATTAGTAAAATTAGCGAATGGACAGACTAAGCCTATGACGAAACTGCCAAAAAAGCCAGTGGAGTTGATGAAGGTACCAAAGATCCTACAACATCCGCAGCAGCAGCAGCAACAACAACAACAGCAGCAGCAGATGATGAATCAACATCAGATGATGAAGCAGAGAAGTTTAATGAATGCCAAGAGACCTGTACACACAAACTTAACACCTTCAGTAAGCATTGCTCCAGTTGGCAAACGACCTACGACATTGTCAAGAGCACCAAGTGATTCTGATAGTGATTATGATGAATATCCTAGAAGGCCTGTTGGACGTCCAAAACGTAAGTGCATGTTTTTATTATATTTTAAAATATGTTTGAACATCTAAAAAAACAAATTTTCAAACATTAACTGATCATTTTATTAATAGAAAATAATTGAAATATCTAAGTTCATTAACCTTTCTGTTATACATACAAATTTATATATTTAACAAAATGGCAATGTTTTCATCATAGAGAGGAAATATGCCATATCTCTCAACATAATTATTTATAAATTTATTCACTTTATTTTGTGATATTTTTGTAGATAATAATAATTTTTAAATGAGAAAAATCACTTACTACTTCGAGCGAGATTTGCTTCCATCCTTTGTCTTCATGAACTTTGGCAATCACACACGCAAAAATCGCGACAAATATGCACTGTATAAACCGCGATTATTGATTACGATGAAACGACCAACATCCGCAAGAAGTATGAACTACGCAAACAAATGCTATTTTTTATACAATTATGAAAGAAAATACAATTGTACATTGTTATTCAATGGAAATTCTAATTAGCACCGAGATTACACCGAAAACCGAAGAAAATTTGAGGATTTTCAATAATTTAATGTCGCACTATTGAATTGGAGGGAAAACCGATTGCAACTCACGCATTTATCGTATAAAGACTTCATGGAACTGCATGTTTTTTATTCGAGCGAGACGTTGTTTATCTTTAAAAGCGAACAAAAAATAATAACGGACATAACGGAAATTTTCATAAAAAAGTTTGAATATTTGAATTGACTATACATTTATACAAACATGATTTGATGGTTGTATATTAACGTGTTATTTTGTTGAGTTTTCCACAACCCATTATATTGCAGATTTAGATATTCATTAAAATTTGCAAATCGTTTGGCCGTTAAATTTCCTAAAGTCTAGTTATTGATTTTATATAACCTTAGGAAATATAACTTATTGGAATCCAGAAAGTTAAAACTACTTTATTTTGATATAACATATCCATTTATTGGATTAGAAAAAAATAAATAAATTGAGAATAAAAACTTGTCACAGACTTTTTTTTACCTGTTAATGTTTCAAAAATGTAAATATTAATCATGAATATTTTTATTAATTCATACTTATCAATAATACTAGTTTCCTTGGTCTTAATTATATACATCAATTAATGCCTACAAAAAATGCAGTATGTTTTGTTGTTTGAGCTCATGGTTATTTTTTTTTTACCGAAAACGAGGTTTAATAATATCTGCTTATGCGGCTCACCTGAACAGATGTCCCAACTAGTATTATTATATGGGTATTTATATGTTAGTTTTATGAAATAATCATATACGTAATATCAAATGTACGTTAAGTGAGCACAGACTATTCAAAATCTATAATTAGCTTTATAATATATGTTTTTTTTAAATAATTTATAGTTGAAAATGATGTTCCCGTTCAAACGATTGACATATCATCGGATGATGATTGCATCGTGGTCTCCGAGTCCGAGAACGATCCCAGTGATGAAGTGGAGGACCCGACGAATTCCGGTATGCACACGAACGATGAATTCAACCAGCCCGATGAGCAGGGTCGTGTGGTCATCAACATAGGACACCCAGAGGACGAAACGGATATATACCTGGCGCCGCAGATCGCAAGAATAATAAAACCCCATCAAATTGGAGGCATTCGATTTCTATACGATAACATTATTGAGAGTACAAATCGGTTCGAAACGTCGACTGGTTTCGGATGTATTCTGGCCCACTCGATGGGTCTCGGAAAAACGCTTCAGGTGGTCACCTTCTCCGACATATTTCTGAGACACACGCCGGCAAAAACCATCCTATGTATCATGCCCATTAACACCCTGCAGAATTGGATGGCCGAGTTCAACATGTGGTTGCCAACTGAAGATGGAACTGCTAGCAGTCCACTCCTTGTACACGGTGAAGTTAGACCGAGAAATTTCAATTTGCACGTGCTAAACGACAGTCATAAAACGTTGGCGGCAAGGGCTAGAGTCATACACGAATGGAAAACGGCTGGGGGCGTTTTGTTGATTGGCTACGAGCAATATAGGCTACTGTCACTGAGGAAGTATCCAAAATCCAGAAGTAAAAAGCCAATTAGCGAACTCAAGGCGGGCGAAGAAGATAAGAATAAAGCTCTATTCGACGGTAAGATTTACCAACATTCGATTTAGAAAAACTATATGTATTTATTATTAACTTAAAGCGATTGAGTTACATGCAACAAATAATCACATCAGTTTAAACCGTAGTTATCAAATGATATTTAATAATTAACGTATATCATATATCGTGTATTACTATATAAATCTTTCCATCCAATATTAGTTTTTCATTCGTTTGAATGTACTCATTACTTTGGCAACCGATACGTTACTTAAATCGCATTGTCGTAAATAATCAAGTACGTATTATGGAAAGCTGGTTTAAGTGAATGCTAACTGTATATGATTATTTTTGTTCTAAAAAGTAAACAAGTTTTGTAAAAATTCGCAAATTTACTTTGTTAACTTAAATTAAATATGATGTAAACGTTTATTTTAGAGGTGCACGAGTCGTTGGTAAAACCCGGTCCAGATCTAGTTATTTGCGACGAAGGTCATCGCATCAAGAATTCGCACGCTTCAATTTCACAAGCCCTAAAACAGATGAAGACGAAGCGCAGAGTGGTTTTGACCGGATATCCGCTACAGAATAATTTAATGGAATATTGGTGCATGGTTGATTTCGTCAGGCCAAATTATTTGGGTACGAAAACAGAATTCTGCAACATGTTCGAGAGACCAATCCAAAATGGACAATGTATAGATTCCACCGAATCTGATATCAAATTGATGAGATACAGAGCGCACGTGCTGCATTCATTGCTACTTGGTTTTGTACAAAGACGGTCACATCGCGTACTCCAAACTGCGTTGCCCCAAAAGGAAGAATACGTTTTGTTGGTAAGAATGACTACGTTCCAGAGGAGTCTGTACGAAGTATTCATGAACGAAGTAGTCAGGAGCCAAACGGTTCCCAATCCACTGAAGGCATTTGCGGTGTGCTGCAAGATCTGGAACCATCCGGATGTGTTGTACTACTTTCTGAAAAAGCAGGCTAAAGGTGATGCCGTGGATATAGATTTAGAGGAAGTATCAAACTCGACGGGATCAAGTGAAACGCCGAACAAGAACAAAAGTAAATCGAAGAAGGCGAAGGGGAAGAATGGGAAACCAGCTGCTTCAGTTACACCTTACAATAACACGAATGTTGCGATCGACAATAATCAGCAGCAGCAGCACCAGCTTCAACAACAGAATCAAATCGCATCAATAGCGCCAAGTAACATTCCTTCACAGCAAACTCCGAATCCCAATCCCGATACTTTCCCCAATTACAATCAGCCGCAAAGTTCAACACCTAATCCGAATTCATTCCCCAACAATAATTACAATCAAAATTACAATCCGCAGAATTACTCGCAAAACTTCAACCAACAAAATTTCCAAAACAATGCCAACTACCAAAACAGCGATCGAACAAATTTTCCTGCCAACAACTACACGGATTACGGTCAGACCTATCCGAACAGCTATCCAAACAGTAGCCCGCAGAAATTCAACAAGCAACAATCGAACTTTCAGCAGCAGAACTTCAACCAGACCAATTTCAATCAGCAGACGCCCGTCGTTAACACGTTCAACCAATATCCGAACACGCAAAATTTTAGCACAAGTCAAACCACGCCATATCCTAACGCCGCACAGACATTCAATAATCAGCAGACCAACAATTACAATAACTATCCGAACAATTACTGGAATTCTCAGGAGCAGAAACCTGATAACTACAACTATAATAATTTCGGACAGTACAACCAGGGGTCCATGTACAATCAGCAGTGGACCAAGAAAGAGGAGCATCCGTATCCCAATTCTATCAAATCAGATTTATCGAGTCCTGAAACGAAGCCAAAAATTAATATAATTAGCGATATCAAAATCAACAACATTTACGATGGTATGAATCATCACCATATTTCACCGGAGAAAAAAATCAACATCCTTAGCGATATAAAGTTGGAACCTAAGAAGGAGGAAATTGAACCAGAAGCAATAAAAGTGGATAACGATGATGATGTTAAGGTCGTCTCGGATACGACGGTGGCTTTAAAGAATAATAACCCCGTGCCTCCTGTTAAAGAAGACACTGGTATTCCTTATGACTGGGTAAGTAAAATCCAATTACTTTTGTAGACTATAAATATCACTTCCTGGGTCAGTACTAACTTGATTAATAAGTTATCCAGCATAAAGAGCAGTTATCCTAGTTTTTTGTAGTGCGCATCATTATATTAAATTCGTTTATTAATACTTTACTATTGTTTGTTTTAGGCAATTGAATTACTAAAGGATTACGTTCCGGGTTGCATAGAGAACTCCGCCAAGATGCAAATACTGTTTTGTATTATAAAGGAAAGCATAGCACTAGGCGACAGATTGCTGGTTTTTAGTCAGTCCTTGATCACCCTGGATCTCATCGAGCAGTTTCTACAAATGAATGTCGTTCCCGGAGATACGCAACATTGGGCAAAAAATACAACATATTATCGTAAGTTTCTTTCAATATTGCGTTTGTTTCAATATTGCCGAGCAAATATATTAATATATTGAAGATTTTTAAAAAATCTATCTTTATAACAACTTATAAAAATGATACCAATTAATTTTGATTTTGTTATTTAGGTTTGGATGGATCTACGAGTGCATTGGAAAGAGAAAAGTTGATCAATGAGTTCAATGCGAACTCAAAAGTGTATCTATTTTTGGTGTCTACGAGAGCTGGCTCCTTAGGTATTAATTTAATTGGTGCAAATCGCGTAGTGGTTTTGGACGCTTCGTGGAATCCTTGTCACGATACGCAAGCTGTCTGCAGGGTCTACAGATATGGCCAACGGAAGCCGTGCTTCGTTTACAGACTGGTCGTGGATAATTGTTTAGAGAAGAAGATTTACGACAGACAAATTAATAAGCAAGGTATTTGTTTAATTACAAATTATCTCTCTGTTGATTTTAATCGTGTAATTGTAACTTACAGGTATGTCTGATCGTGTTGTTGATGAGTGTAATCCAGATGCGCATTTAACTATGAAAGATGTAAGTACTTTGTGCTGGGACGACGAGAAAGAGTGCGAGGAACAGGACTGGGCACACACGAAGGAGAATTATATTGATGTCGTGTTACAAAAAGTGTTGGAGCAGCATGGACGCAGTTTCAACAAGGAACCTTTTCAGCACGAGTCGCTTCTCATCGACAGGAAGGACAAGCAACTATCCAGGCTTGAGAAACGATTGGCGAAGAAAGGGTACGAAAGGGAGAAACAAGCTGCCAGACAGCCGACATACGGGATGTCTGTGGGTGCTCGTGGTCATAGGCCGGTGGCATCCGTGAGGCCGATGCAGCAGGGAGGTGATAAACCCACGAGATGGATACCTGCCGAGCATTGGCAGAGACAAGGAATGACGGCACAAGAAATGACATTGCCTTTAGATGTTGTGATACCTACGAATCAACCGGACAAAGGAAACATAGTACTGAAAGCTGGTCAAAAAGTACTTGTGCTCAAGTCTCCGAAGGGTGTTTACATGCAATTGGAAAGCGGTAAAATAGTAGCTATAAAAACTGCCATAAAAGTACGCGGAAAAGCTGAGGAAGATGCCAACAAAGCGAAGCCGGCATTACCACCTGCTATCAAAAATAACTCTGCATTATCTGTGTTACCTCAGAAGAGGCCGATGAAACCTTTCAATCCAGCGATGGCCAAAATGAATGTCAGGTGTACGAAACCGGCAACACCTAACCTGAGTAATATGAATAAAAGGAAACCGAACTTGGTGAAGAGGTCGTTTGTCGGTAGGGATGATTCGCTCGCGATGAGCAGCAGCGAAGAAGAACGGTCTCAGGATAAGAGGTTATCCTATCCGTACCGAAGCGAAGGACAAGTGAGCCTGCTGAAGTCGCAATCCCGATCCGAGTCAGACAGTGAGATGCCCCGTTCAGAAGAGGACAGTATGGGATCCAAGGAGGAATCCGTGCACAGTTTTAAAGGTTTGCCATCACAGATCATATCAAAGCCTACAGGCGCGCAGGGTTCAGCGCTGCAGCAGCTGGAAAAATCCGCTTCTGCAATAATGTCCGAATCGAAGCAACCATTCCAGGAAACGCTAGACAGCATCACCAGCTCCTATCATGAGGACAAAGCTGAACTACCGCCGGAACCGCCACCCCCAGCACCACCAATCCAAATCGAGGATGATTCTCCGACAGAATCCGAAGAGACGTACGAAACACCAGCTCCTCCTCCACCACCACCCGCAGCTCCGCCCGCGCAAACGGCTCCCACGCAGCCCACAACTCCGACGACGGATCCCCCGGTGAAATCAGACATTCCGACGCCTGATTATTCATACAACAATTATTACAGCTACAACCATATGCAGCCATATCCTCCCCCGCATCCACCGCAAGGATATCCGACCTACCCTCCGCAACCGCTCCCGTACGACATGAACCTCTATCCTCAGCAGCAGCAACCGCCTTATAACTACGGTATGTATCCGCAAGGATATCCGCCGCAACCCCAGTATCCGCCAGCGCCGCCGGTTCCACATTACGAATATGCTGCACCTCCACCACCGCAGCCAATGTACGGCGGTTATCCGCCGTATCCACCGCAACAGTACCCACCTCATCCGCCGCCACCGCAAGGTATTTACCCCCCACCAGCCAATCCCTATCCGGACTACCAATATTCTAATCCCACTCCGCACAATCCACCTGCCCCCGCCACGCAACCATACTATCCACCACAGACATAAAACACACACACACGCACAAAACCGTTTTTAAATTCATAGTGCAATTATTAATAATAATAATAATTTCTTTTTTGAAGTATTATCGACGTCCTGAAAAGTACTAAAGACAGATCTGATTATATATGTTTCGTTATAGTTGTTTAGCTGTGCAGCTTCAATAGTAGTTTTCGTGGATATATTTTTATCATACAAACAATCGTCAGATACAACAAAATTAAGAAAACATTTATCTTTTTATTATCGATTCTGTGTAAGAATCTGAACTGATTGACAATTTATTAATATTATTATTCTTATTATTATTTTAAATTTATTTAAATTTTGTACAATTTAAGTATTTTATGTATTTACGATTATTTTATATATATAATAGCAGTTCGAGAACGTGTATATATATATTTGATTTTCTATATAAAAAAAAGAAACACTAAGGTATTGAAAAATAAAATGGAACGAAATGTTTTGCAAAAAATCATTAGTTGTATTCCTCGAATACTGTGTATTGAAGGTGATAAAATGTATATATTGAGACATAGTTGACGAAGATAATTTTAATTATTAAGCAATTATTAATAACTATATTTAGGTAAATTGTTTATTATTTCCATCTCTCTCTTTCCAATTATTGTGTCGGGCAACCCACCGAGCAAAAGACATTAGGAAACACTACGAATTTGTAGCATTATATTTTATAACCCCATTCCCCCTTCGTCGTTTACAAAATTGTTTAAATTTATTACATTGAAAATATAAATTAAAGGTTTAGAAAAAAAGTTATGAGAAAAATTTGAAATTAATTTTTGGCAGTTACCTGTACGACTCCGATTACATTATTGAAATATTTTTATAAATAAATATATTATTCTCAAAAGTACTTTTTGGCGCAGTTGAAAATGATTTAATTTTTTATAAATCAGTGTTAAGTTTTTAATAATCACTGTTGAATTACAAAACTGTATGAAGATTAGTGGGATATTTTGATGTAAAGCTCTTGTATTTAATAACATTTGACCATGTGAATTATCCATCTACAGAAAATCTATATGTTTTTTAGTATTTAAGTCTCTTATTTATACCGGTTTTGTCTTTATTTTTCAGCTTGCGTCATATGAAAAAGAATAAGCAACTAAATTTGTTTCCATCATTTAGCCATAATTTATTATACGGTCAAGAGGTAAGTTTTTATTTATTATTTTAATAACTTTTAAACTAAATTAAATATATTTTGTAATTATTATTATTAAATCAAATTTAATGTTCAAGTTTGATGTTAATTTTAATTCAAAGTACAATCCTTGATAATTGGACATGCATGCATGTCAATTCACGTATAAACTGCGTAGCTATTTGAGCTAGAGAAATTGGTTTACCAATTTGCTGGCTAGTTGAAGCCCCTTTTCTACAAGACTTGCGGTGAGAAGATTCTTTTCGTCATCATCACTATGAATTTATTTCAGTAGATTAGAAGTGGCACAAAAAACATTCATTACTTCATCATCCACAAGAGGATCGTAGATTATCAATTCGTCTGTATCGGCAAATTAATCATCTGCTATAATTTTCACAAGTCGCGGCAGAAATTTTTATCAGGTTCATTTTTCTCTGTAATATTCCCATTATGCAAAGAATATCTTTGAAAAAAACTTCGAGGAAAATCGTAATTTTTGTTTAACTTCTATGATATGTTGATTCATTTTCTTTTCTATAAATTGTTAATGCCTTCTGTTTTATGAATATTTCTTTTAATGGTATTCTCTTTTCAGATCAATTTTCAAGCCATAGGATTTTCCATTTTAAGTTTGATAAGAACGGATTTTCTAATTGCGACTACATTCTTCTTGATGTTTCTTACGAATTAATTTCCAACAGACGTTGGAGACGATTTAAAACTTGAATTTTATTATTCAGAGAGAATATGTTTAACAAAAATATCGGTATTAGAAAACTAAAAATTACCTATTTTAAAATAAATCTATAAAATTCGAAGACAAGAAGAACATGTAAACACATGATACATAACATTTAAGGGAATCTTCCATATGTAACGCAATATTAGGAACCGTGTTATTATCAATTCGTGTAAAAACAGGTTGTGTAATAAAGAAACACTACATAAAATAAAAATCTGCATTTTGTGCTGTATATATTCTTGTGGCTTAGCTCATGCGCACCGTAGATGCACGAAGTAAGATTCCGAAAAACCGAGCGTTCACAAGGATAACCGGTTTCCATAAAATAAAACGGTAACTGCAATATAACCACAAAAACCGTAAATCAGTGAAAATTGAACGAAATCGATGTTCATTTATTCCAATTATTGTCTGATGACTAAACAAATAAAAATTTTGTTAATTACTAGAAGTGTGAACAGTATTATATTTTAATTTAAATATTATCAATTACCAATATAATACTGGTAGTATCAAGAACACAAAAAAAATCTTCCATATTTGAAGTTAAGTATTATTTTATTTACTAAAACTTTACATTTTTACAATAAATATTTAGTTTGAATTGTAATTATGTCTTTATTAATATGTTGTATTAATTTTTTAGATGGGTCGGTTTAAAACAAATCCAGTGTCAAAATACTTTACATACATCAATGGAACTGATCTATCTCAATGTGAAATACCTGGCTGCAATAAGATACTGAAAGGCAAGCATTCAGCCAATTTGGAACGGCACCTTCAAAGTAGACATCCTGAAGATTTTCATCATTTGCAATTGATGAAATTGGAACCGAAGAGGAAAATCAGTGAAACAACCTTTACCAGCAAAAAAGTGCCTGTCTGTAAGCGACCTAAATTGGAGGATGTTAAACTAACCATAGCAGTGTCAATAGCTCAACAAACTTTGGTGGATGCATGCATTGAACTTGTGACAATCAACAGTAGACCTCTCAATTTGATCAATGATAGTGGATTCAGAAAGATTGTTGATCCCATCATTTGTGGTCTTGGTGGACAATTGAATATAACTGATGAAAGTATACAACATTTGATTGCAACCAAGGCTGAGACTATTAGAGATTCAATAATGAAAGAGTTGAAGGGAAAGTTATTATCCATTAAAATTGATTGTGTTCAGAAGATGGGAAGGTATATTATTGGAATTTATGTGCAATATATCAAGAATACTAGAATGGTTTTGCAAACTTTGGCTATCATTGAGTTGGACATTGAAAATACAACAAAGTACTTGGAAAAAATGTTGTTAAAAACGTTGGAAAGATATGAAATCCGCATTGATCAGTTGTATTCTGTGACTATGAATGATGGTTCTCTATTGAATAAAGATATCCCTTTCGTGTCTGAATATATTAAGGATGCTGAAAGTGTAGACATATCTGAAATTACTGTTAGTCAACCATATTCTGTGCCCAATAATGATGAACTCTTTAACGAATCCAATATAAAGAAAGAACACGACGCGGATAACATTAAAATGAATGCGGAGAAAATTGCAGAAGAGACGTCTGAATTTTATCTGGGAGAATTCGAGGAAAGAATAACAGTTGTAAGATGCCCAGGCCTTACGTTGGAGAATGCAGTGAATGAAGCGCTACAATCGGAAATAGAGTTTATAACAAAAACTCAAGACGTTTACAAGAAGTTGCTCAAAAAATCTATCACAGATAACCAAACACTGTGGGGTTCAACATATGAAATAATGCAACGATTATTGGAGTTAAAAGACTTTTGCATTGGTATGGCTCTCTGGAAGAGCGAATTTCATCTGTCTGAAAATGATTGGGAGCATATAAGTACCATTGTCGAATCTCTAATACCCGCGAAAGAGGCGTTTGTCAAATTGGAAAACGATCAACTCGTAATGGGCGATTTTTATGGAATCTGGTGGAATTGTTACAATGCGACTAGGAAGCTCGAAACTAGTATGGCTCGGTCGCTTTGCGTGGCAATGCAGAAAAGGGAGGGTAAGCTGTTCGAGAGCAACGTCTCTAGGGCGGCGATTTTCTTGGATCCGCGATACCAATGCGTTTTATCCACGAAATGCAAGGAGGCTGCGAAAATACATTTGCTCAACATGTGGGATTCGTATAAATCCATGATGCAGCAGGATCCGCTCGAATCGCATTCAACCA